TTATACGCCTCAATGTCTTCTATGCATTACAATTCGTTTTTCTTTTGTTATTCTTCACTTTTATTTGCTTATTGCATTCCATGTAAAATAAACTGAAAAAGCACGATTGATTTTTCTGTTTTTCAGCTGCCTTGCAATTCTTTTTGTTATTGTATTATTTTCCGTGCTGCCTGCAGCGACGTCAACGTTCTCGACGACGCAATGAAACGCTGCAAATTATATTTATACGTAATTGTAGCTATGTAGTTGATAAGTTTTCACAAGTTACTTCATATGTACAAACATATATCAATTGAGAACTTGCATTTAATTATATTTTCACTTCCGCGTATGATTTATCTGGTTTTTGCCTATCGGCAAGAATTCTGCAGTGACGAGTATCGACCAAAATGCACAGCCAACGCAAGGGTTCGCGAATACACAAAAACACACGCACGCACACCGTCCAACGTAATTAACACATTCACGTCAATGAATTTTTCCAATTTGCGCTTCGAAAATTTTCTTTGCCACAAAGGCTATCATCAAATTATTATGCACAAACCAGCTACATATACAAACACAATTTGAAAGCTTCGAAACACTCCGATAGTCTGCAAATCTTTCCCCAACAAACTTTCAAGAAAATCTTTCCAATTTGATCTGATAAAATATGTACATGCAGATTTTATTTTTTAACTCTCTGCTGATCTTCTGTGCGCAGAATAAATGTGGAGTAGATACGCCAAGTAGTGAACGAACGTCGTCGACGACGAGTGACAGCGAATTGAATTGCTTTCGCACTGATACAAGTCTTCACAGCGAACGAGATTCCCTGCTGGTTCTGTTTTTCACATTTCCTTTTGTTTATGCACGGAATTGAAAGTAGCCCGACGAAAAGTTTAAAAACGCAGTAGATAGGCGGCATAAATGTGATAATTTCGAGCAAGACTCACAATCAAATTCAACAACAAAGCAACTTCAATAATAACCAGTTGTGGTATTCATGAATTCGTTATGCGTAGTTGCATTTATTTTTCCTAGTGGAATGAATTGTTTGTTGCACAGCTGCTTGCAATTCTAATCATTTTGTTTTCCCTCTTATTCTTTATCTTTTCTTAATTTCCCTCTTTTTGCTAACATTTTTATCAAATTCTCTTTTACTCCCATACAGGGTTGCATGTTGCAGTATCCTTAGATGCCTCTTACACGGTTCAAGGAAAGACCGTAAATCTTTAAGAAGACACAACTCGCTGAATTGTAGCGAGCGAGTCTATAACCAAAGAACGTCTTCTTACGTTAGAAAATTCATCAGAACACAGAAAACAAAGTGAAGAATAGCGATATTCGTATTTAAGCAAAATCCATAAGAGAACAACTTCACATGACGGTTTTCAGCTGTACAATTCAGCTACTTCTGAAAGCCTGAAAAGCACGGAACGCCTGAAAAGCTTGTTGTGGGCATGGCACGTTAAACAGCGAGTAGCAAAGAAGGTAAATTTATAGATATATATATAGATTTACGTTCTTTGTTTTAAGCGTACTGACGCTTCTCATAAACTGATGTTTTTTGAACCAGATAACCGAATCAGTAAATGCTAAATACTGAGGTCTAAACTTTTTTTTTGTTTCCAGAGAAAACGTAACTCGTAAAAGTAGATGTACGTTCATTGGGTTTCATAAAAATCAAAAAATGGAAGGAACGTAAATCTCATAAAATTTACACATCAAATAAAAATGATATGGTAACGTTTGTTTCCTACACAAACTGGCAACGCCAAGTACGTTCGTCACTGACACATTCCAAAAAAGAACTCTGAGCGGTTTTGACGTGTGTAAAATTTTCTACAGTTTTTTGGGGTTTCATTTTCTTTCTTGAAATATATAAAATGGTAAATGTCTGTGTTTATTTTCACTTTTCCATTACTTTTAAACATACTCGAATTATTTTCAGACCAACTTCAGTGAAGACCAATTGGCTGGTGAGTAAAATAGAAAAAACAAAGAAGATCTCATAGCATTGTTTAGTATAGTAAATAGTAGTGGGCGTGTTTTATGGATTGGACAGAAGATGCAGGAATTGGACATATATTTGTGTCACGAACCTTAACAGTCCGTGTAAAAGAAATTCCAGTGTGACGATATTTAATACTACAATGCATTGCACTTCATTTTCATATGGACCACGGTTGTTTTTGTGGCTGATGACTCACTTTTCTTTGGACGAGTAACAGCTTTACAAACCAAAGTACTTAACCAGCACAAAGCATACGAAAAAAAAACTCCAAAAGATATCGCAGCAAAGTGTCCACACAGTGTACGTGTGACACTAAATGCCAGTCGATGACGCTATCAATAAGTGGACACCATTTTGCTTTGAGGCAATAAGTAAATATTAAACTATTCGAATAGCCTCGATTATAAATTTGCCAACTTTGAAATAATTTCTTGTACTCATTATTGCTGCTTAATCAACGGTTTTATTACAATTCGCTTCAAAAATTTATTATTTTATGGCTATGCTCCAATTGATTGTAGTATTCTTCATACTCAGCTATCTGGTTAACGCTGGAATGAAATTAAATTGCTATTTGTGCTGCTTATTTATATCAGCGAAAATGTACACATGTGTGTACATTCATACATGTGTACGTCAAGGTTTAGCCGCTTTCTTGCCTTATTGGGCGATTTCCAGTGCAATATGCATTGCCTTCAATGATTTTATGGTCAAGTTGTACGTTTTATGTTGCATGCAACAACTAACTATAGTTGTAAATGGCAACTAAATGCCGTAGCTTATACATACAAATAATTTTTCAAAGGATATTTTTATTAATTTGCCATATTATTTCTAAAACCTTGACACACCATACCCAAAGGAAATGAAGAGGGATTTTACGTTCCCACGAAAGTCGGGTCTACGTAACCGGAACGACCCAGATTTATATCTGGCCAAGGACTGTCACTCCAGCAACACTCCCAAAATCTCTTTGAGGAATTTGTATGCTGTTACAACAACAACCACAACAGGGATTTTAAATCGCCACTTAAAAAAAAAATATATATAATCATTTTATATAAATTTACTAATGGTAACAAATCATCCAGTGTGAATTGGCTAAACAAAACGGAATTATCCGGTGTTGTTTGACTACAGAAAATCATTTAGTAGAATAGTAGTTTACCTTATTTTTCAAAGGTCTGTATATGTAGGTATAGGCATATTAGTAGCAACCGCATGCAATATTTTAGTTTCAATCCAATCAGCATTTTCTTATCACTGCTTTTGATAAACGTTTTTTTTTTATTTTTTTGAATTAAGTACTATATGTCTAGGCATATTGCGTCAATAGAGTCGAAATAAAGTAAATTTTTTACATAATACAACTGAAAAATCCACCACCAAATATACAAGCGCTGAAGTTTTTGGCGCAACTACTCCAGTTGCAAGGAATTTTAAAGTCTGTACATATTTTATGACCACATCATATCTGACAAACATACCCCATAGCAGCAAGTCCATTGTTCTCTAAACAATCAGTAGGAAATGGCAATGTGTTATAAATTATGTGGAAAATTGGCATATACGTACATAGTACATATAATATTATCACATATTATGTGATGTACATATGAATGCATATATGTATCTATATGTATATAAAACAAAGCTATAAAATAAGTTTAGGTAAAGCTCTATATAAAGCAAACACATGTATGTACATATGTACATTTATGTATTAGACTGCATCACCAAAAACAGTTGCGCTTTTTCCGCCGGGATTACAAAATTTATTATATTTTAAGATTTCCATCAAAATATGTCGGAAAAATATTAAGATTTACGTGAGCTGGACAGGTTTGAAAATACCGCTAAAATGGAGTTATTTAAGAACAAAAATGGTTTCTTAAGGAAATTTTTGAAAAAGAATCCCTTCAGATGACAAAACAGATTAAACTTAAAAAATCTGCATAAAAATATTTAAAAATCTTTTCAACGGAATCGTAATAATGATATTTTAGATGCTGTTTTTTAACTTTTTTCAAAGATTGATTTACGAAAAACTTGAATAACTGGGCCAAAACTATTCTCATTCTCTGAGGTCTCACTAGAAAGGTATTTCCTCACTATTTTTATTTCTGTGCAAAAAAAGTCATTCGTGTCCAAATTTTTTTTTTTATATGCCACCACATCTTAATTCATCTTGGAATGATGCTCGTTCATCCTAGCTTTCTCTTTCATCCTTTGAATAAGTTTTTTAGCAAAGAAATAAAAAGGGTGGGAAAATACCTTTCCACTGATACCTCACAAGTCTTAATCGGAGTAGTTTACGTTCAGTTATTAAAGTTTTTCTTATACCAGTCTTTGAAAAAGGTAAAAAAAACTGCATCAAAAATCTCATAATTACGATTCCATTGAAAATTTGTTTAAATGTTTTTTTAAATATTTTTGTGCAAATATTTTAAGCTTAAACCGTTTTGTCATTTGAGAGGATTTAAAAAAAAATCTTTAAGAAGCAATTTTTATTCATAAAAAGCTCCATTTTTGGAGGTATTTCATTTTCATTTCCAGCTCAGGTAAATCTTAATATTTTTCCGAAATACTTTGGGGGACGTCTTAAAATATAATAGATTTTATAATTCCAATGGAATAAGAGTACCGATTTTTTTTTTTTTTTTGTATGGGGAGCGTTGCACTCTAATGTACATACATACATGCGTATTTGTGCCATCCTCCAATTGTTTACTCACATCACTCTTAAGGTAGTTACAACATTTATGACGACTGTTGTTGGGGGAATGGGTGTACTCGACAACGTCTATCTGCAGCCAAAAAGGCAATTCTCGATGGAAAAACATGTTTTACCGTATATGGATAAAATAACTAAACTGCAATGATAGCAAATTATTATACAGGGTGCTTGCACAGCGAAGAACTAGTAAAATTTTACAAACTATGTATATCAATGTAATTTAATATGTTTGCATCAAACTTCAGTTATTTGCATATACTATTATATATACGTATATTTGAAAATGTTTGTTAAATTATCTCGAACTCGAAGAGAACAAAGTACTCGTTTTTTGCTTTACATATTGGAATTGTGTTTTTTTTTCTCCATCTACGCGCCTAGTACCAGCCCCTACATATGTAAGCGCTCAAGTTCACCTTCAATTATTTTTTGCGGTGGGACATCACCAAACCACTTTTGCGCATTTCATTCGTTGGCTGCGCGTAACATGCAACACAACACTTTAGTATTGCAAAATTTTATTGATCGCAAATAAAAAATTAATTCACTAAACAAACGTGAAGCAAAGTTAACACATTTGCAATGTACATCTACGAGCCACCAACAAAAAATTCATTTACTACAGTGGAAGGTTAAAACTATTGCATTTATTTGTAATTTGTGTCTGCTATTCCTTTACATTAATTAAATTGGTTTCATTTTTTTCGCAACATTGTAGAATTCCAAGAGGCCTTCAACCTCTTCGACAATCGCGGTGATGGTAAAATCCAACTGAGTCAAGTGGGCGAGTGTTTGCGTGCACTCGGTCAGAATCCCACTGAATCGGATGTAAAGAAATGCACTCACCAATTGAAGCCTGACGAACGGATTAGCTTCGAAGTATTCTTACCTATCTATCAGGCGATTTCCAAGGCGCGTTCTGGCGATACTGCCGATGATTTCATTGAAGGTTTGCGTCATTTCGACAAAGATGCCAGCGGTTTCATTTCATCAGCTGAATTGAGACATCTACTAACTACGCTGGGTGAGAAGTTAACCGATGAAGAGGTCGAACAGCTAATGACCAATCAAGAGGACACACAAGGCAATGTGAATTATGAAGAATTTGTGCGTATGGTAATGAATGGTTAATGTTTATACGTTTAGCAGTGGCCTGCATTTAAATAAATAATAAAGAAAATTAAAAACGTTTATAATTCCCTTAACATGCCTACCTGTATCAATATTAATGAACACAATGAAAATCAGTAATTAACAAAAAACAATTAAAAATAATAAATATTTATGTATGTATATTAAACAAAAAGTATTCCAAGCGCATGTGCAGCAAATGTTTGTCGCCAATTCGAGAATTTATATATTGAACTAAAGTATATACTTACTTTTATTGTTATTGAAGCACATTGCAGCTGTTTGTATGTAGCATATGTATTTATGTGTAAGCTGCATGTGGCAGTGCAACTTTGCATATCCTCTAAAATAAAAAAAAAGTTAATAATGTATGTAAGCTTTTTAAGGCATATTACTTACGTTCGTACATATGTATGTAAATCAAATAATGATTAAATGTTTTTTGTACACAAAAATTTTATGAGTTTTTCTTGGTTTTTTTTTTTAAGAATTTGATGGTTGGTCATCAAAAAATTTAAAATTTATGGCTAGATATTGAGCTTTGTACCACGATTGGTTATTAGGAAAAATGGAAAAAGCAACAAAGTCTTAAGCGATGGAAGTTATAGCAGCTATTTTGAAGATCACCAGCCCTCCTCAACACAGTTCTTTTTTCTAGACTTAAGCAGGCATCGAACCCGCATTATCGATGTATAGCTGATTTGCCGATATTTAAACTGGGCAGCGTGGTTGTTATTGTTAATTCCATACATGAAATAGATCCTTAGTATTTTTTCCCAAACTATTTATTTGTCCATTTTTCAATCTCATATAAAAATTTAAGAGTACCTTTAATTTCTTCATGATCCAATGGGGCGATGTAAACCAAATTAGTATGGGACCTCCTCTGATGTACCACATTTCCTCTAAAAAAATATTTATAGAAATCGGTTAACAAAATGAAAATGATTTCAATCCTACGAAAGCCGTATCTACGTATAGCTATGATTAGGATTTTACGCTACCAAGAGCTGTTGGAGGACGATCTAAGAAGCATTTTAGGTGTAAAGTTGCTACTTAGCAATCTAGCAATGCATTTTGTTGTTGTTGGAAAAGCAACAAAATATGTGCTAGATTGCTAAGTAGCAACTTGGTGAGGTACTGCGATGAGTTGAGAGCACAATAGACCTACTGGTCGCAGTGCTTACTTCAACTATATATCTATCTATCTATCTACATAGCAACTTTACACTTAAAATGTTACAAATCGTGAGCTCCCTAAGTGATCCGTGTAAATGGTACCAATCGCTTGAGCCATCGTTTACAGCAACCTACTTCTGGTGTGTGTGCAAGTTATATGAACTAGTTATCGGGAAGGAAAAAGTCACCAAAGCCATTGGATGCCGACTGGTTATCCATATTGAAGCCTAAAAACTTTTGACCAACGCGATTTGAATACCTCACCAGAATCTTTAATTTGTCGATGACTTCTCTCATAATTGCTGATTGTGGAAATCAGGGAGAGTATCCCCACTACTTAAGCCGGGGCAAACTGCTGTCAAATCTATGTTCACCACTCGTAAAGACACATCCACAATGTGCACGGCACTATTACAGCACTTAACACCTTAAATACTTGCGGCATTAATCTGTTCGTCGCTGTGAGAGTGCCGTTTTAGTAGCATTGGGACCTGTCGGAAAGTTTTTGGCACCGAGACCACCTCTCTAAGACCAAGAATAAAATGATGAACGTAGACTTATCTGAGTGGCCGACAGTCGTCAGTATTCTTTCGAAGAAAACCTAGAAGCCAAGAACAATTTAGCATAAGGTGGTAACCACCCGAGGGAGTTTCTTATACTAGGTTCACATATAAGTAGATTATCCTCATTTTCGAGCTTAACTTCCTAATCTGTAATTAGAAAAAGAGATTAGCCATATAAAATTCGTCCCTTGTTAATCTGTAATTATAAAATAATCTCAGATTTAACCGATAACTTTTCGGTGTCCATCCTAGTTTTATCGATTGTTTTTGCGAAGAAGAGGAGAAATGGCAAATGTAAAAGTAAACAAAAATGGACGCTAGCAAGGAAAGGAGGGTTTTAAAGGTATTTTTTAATAAAATGTTAAGTTAAAATATATTTATATTGCTTAATATAGCAGAAAAACTTGATCACGGTTGCACAGAGAAGAAACATAACTTTTCCTTGAGATGTGAGAATAACAAGCACATCAAATTTGACGGCTAATAATCTGAGATTTGCCTGTGTAAACGGGGTGATTAAAAAACGAGCTTTGATTGAGATAATATTGATATGTGAACATAGTTTTAGATATTACACGATTAAATTGGTTAAATTTTCAATGTTTGCCATCGACTTTTACAATTTAATAACATCGCGAAATTGACGATACATCGATGGAAGTATTACCGATGTCTTAAACATCGAAGTAAGGAGACTCTCCGACTTTCTTTCGGTATGTTTGACTGGCCGTAAATTTATTATTCATTCAGAATTTTTTTGTTATTTATGGCCTTATAACAATTATATTCAACAATTTAATTGAGCTTGAGGCCGTTTCCTATGAAAAAATTTATTGAAAATCAACAATAATTTACAAAAGGTAGAAGGTATAGCTGCTACTTCGGAGATCACCACATCTCCTCAGTGACCGCGGTTGAAGAAGTCTGATTAGTAGATGTAGTGATCTCCCAAATAGCAGCTATAACTTCTTACCTTTGTATATTATTGTTGCTTTTCCACAACATTTTTCATAAAAACGGCCCCAAGCTCAATAAAATTGTTGGATTCATTCTGAATCTAATAACCTAGCCGTTAAAACAGAACCAAACACCCCTTAGAATTTCAACAAGCTGTATAGCTCCGCACGGAATGTGTCCCACGCGTTGTATATGGTTCAGCCCTCGGCTTATGCGGATGAGGCTAAAGACACTCGGCAAACCATTCCTGCAGAATATTTCAGAGTGTAAACCCCTCTCTCTATATGGCGTACTGAAATTCATTAGTGCCGCCAAATGGGTGTCAGTTCCACGAGTTGTGGAATGAAAATGGCAAACTTGCTAATTGCTTACCACCAGGGTGATAATCCACCTGAAGCAACCAACCAACGTAGACAGGCCTTCTTGTGTGGAATAAGACAAATTCTTGGCAATATCGTCAATGACCTATAAGAGCTCCATATTAACAAAATTCTTATCTTGTTTATTTATGAAAATGTAACAATTATCACTCGAGCTTGAATNGAGGCTAAAGACACTCGGCAAACCATTCCTGCAGAATATTTCAGAGTGCAACCCCCTCTCTCTATATGGCGTACTGAAATTCATTAGCGCCGCCAAATGGGTGTCAGTTCTACGAGTTGTGGAATGAAAATGGCAAACTTGCTAATTGCTTACCACCAGGGTTATAATCCACCTGAAGCAACCAACCAACGTAGACAGGCCTTCTTGTGTGGAATAAGACAAATTCTTGGCAATATCGTCAATGAGCTATAAGAGCTCCATATTGACAAAACTCTTTTAAAATGAGAAATTCTTATCTTATTTATTTATGAAAATGTAACGCGTGTGATTTTACTGGTACATAAGTATTTATAGTTAATCAACCCTAGTTAGTGTGTATACAGTTTATGCAAAGTTTTGCACTTTATAATATCTTAAACGCTAAATTTTGTTAATAGCAATGCGAAGTACATATATTAGATTTTTGATTTATCTTTCAATTTCGTGCTTAGTATAGCTTCATGCATAATGTTAAGCACCAGATCCACACGCTCGTATGTGGCATTCTCACCCATCAGCCCAATACGAAACACCTGCTCAGCTGTGGGTCCCAAACCGCCGCTTATCTCCAAGTTGTATCTGCAAAAAAAAATAGTAATAAATACATAGTTAGTGTCAATATTATCTTAGTCATAAGCGGCCCGAATTTGAATATCTACTCACTTTCTCATCGCGTACTCGGCCACCTTGCGCCACTCCACACCCGCCGGTACTTTAATTGTATTCACCGTAGGCAAGCGATCATTGGCATTTGGCACAAGCATCTCCAAGCCTATATCCTGCAGACCACACTGCAGCCGATGTGAGCACTCCTGGTGTCGATGTATCACATTTTTCCGACCCATCGCGCAAAATTGTGCCAATGCTTCGCGCAAACCATACAGCAGCGTCGATGAGATGGTGTGATGATAGATGCGTGGTAAATCGAAACAATTCCAATATTGTCCGACAAGTAGGGCATCAAAATAGTACGACTTGACATAAGTTTTGCGTGCCCTGATGCGTGCGATGGCACGTTCGCTGAATGAAACGGGCGTTATGCCTGGTGGCGCACCGAGCACCTTCTGAGAACCCGCATATGCCATATCAACTTTCCAAGCATCCATAAGGAATTCTGTGCCACCCACTGAAGCCACCACATCGACAACAAAAAGGCAGTTGTAACGCTCGCAAAGTTCACCGATTTCCTTCAAATGTTGCTGCAATATACCCGTCGATGAATCACCTTGTGCAATGAAGAACATCTGTGGCTTGTGTCCCTCAAAGGCGAATTCGATTTCTTTCATGGTCAGTGAGCGTCCAAAACGCGCCTCAACGTAACGTACATCACCATTGACGCGCTTAACCATTTCGGCGGCACGATGTCCCCACAGTCCAGTGCAACCTAGAAGTACAACATCACCATCCTCCACGAGATTCATAAAAGCTGTTTCCATGCCGGCATGCCCCGAGCCGCTAATGCACATTGTGGCTGTGTTTTTTGTTTGGAAAAGGTATTTGATGCCCTGCTTGATTTCGTCCATTATCTGTAAAGACGAATGGCATTGAATATGGAGATAAGAATTTTCAAAATTTATTTAAAAATCTTGAATAATGGTATAGTGTTGTAACCAGGTTCAACGATAAATCGGGGCGGAGGGTTAGGGTGGTTTAGTTTTCAGGAGGGCCCGGAGTTTTTTGTTACTTAATTTGGAGGATGAAAATATTTGGCTGGCAACCCCCCTCAAAAATATTTTCGGAAGTAAACTTTCCTAAACTTTAATTAATCTTATTAATTGAATTAAATTAACACTTTCAAACAGGTTGCTACCTTCCACAAAAATTGTTTCGACTGTCGGACTTCTTAAACCTCTTTCTTTTGATAGCCATATTGCAGTATATAGTTTGACTTATCGATTTACCTAACTGCAATTTGCAATCCGGCGGCGACTCTACAATGTTTTTCTTCTATATTTTAAGTTAGACCTCAGGCAATACATCAGTGAAAACTGCATTCATTCGATTACATNCTTGATTTCGTCCATTATCTGTAAAGACGAATGGCATTGAATATGGAGATGAGAATTTTCAAAATTTATTAAAAAATCTTGAATGGTACAGTGTTGTAACCAGGTTCAACGATAAATCGGGGCGGAGGGTAAGGGTGGTTTAGTTTTCAGGAGGGCCCG